ACCTACTCTCCCGACGGTGACAGCGATGTGACGCTTGATATTGCTATGGAGGGTGAAGGACCATGTGTTGGTCAGGATGCTGTTCTGTCCATCGTTCTGAAGAACAACAGCAGCTCACCTCGCAGTGTCCATCTCTACAGCCAGGTGTCAGCCACGCACCACTCTGTAGTCAACAGGACCTTCCTGAAGAAAGACCAGAGGAGCCTTGAGCTCAAGCCTCATGAGGGTGAGAGATGATAGAATGGATAAAGATCTGAATACAAAGCTTAACTACAACTTCTCACCAGCAGAACAACACATTAACAATACAATTGTTAACTAAAGCTATTAAAAATCTCAATTTCTCCAAAGCTTGAAATAAGATATAACTTTTGGACAGAAAAACTTATTTCAGTTAGTTGCCTAGGCAACTTTTTAAATTTTAATTTAAATAAAAATTAAAACATAAAGTTTTTTTTTTTTAAAGCTATACAGAAATATTTAGACAATAAAAACTAATAATAAAAATGAAAGAAAAAAAAACACAACAAAATGACCATAAATAAAAAATAAACTAAAAATATATAAAAAATAAACTAAAATATAAAACTGAAAATATAAAAATAAAAACTAATTCAAAATATTAGTAAATACTATAATAGTATATAAATTATACTAAATATACACTAATATAGTGTTGTATACTAAACAAATTTATTTATTTTTAAATCCATTTAATTCAACAACTGGAATTTAACTCAAATATACTCAAATTGTAATATATATATATATATATATATATATATATATATTGTTGTTAATAAAACATAAATATTAGATTAAAAACTTGAACTTTACAGACATAAATGAAAATTAGAATTGCTTGCAACTAAAAGACATAAACTTAAGTACTAAAATTAAAAACTAAAACTGAAATAAAAATGGTAGAATTGAAAAAATTAATAAATGATAGAAAATGACAAATACAAAATTACTAAAACTTAATCTAAATAAAACTATACAGATATACAGTGGGTACGGAAAGTATTCAGACCCCCTTCAATTTTTCACTCTTTGTTATATTGCAGCCAT